GGTCTTTCTCTGCTTTGGGGATCAAGGTGATGCTTGCTTCCAGGAATGAATTTGGGAGTATTGCTTCCCTTTCAATTTCTTTGAAGAGTTTAAACAGTAGTGGCTGCAGTTCCTCTCTAAATGTCTTACAGAATTCAGTAGTGAAGCCATCAGGACCTTAGCTTTTCTTAGTTGGTAAGTTGTTGATTTGGGTGGGTTTTTTTTGGTACTGGGGATCAAACTTGAGACTTTGCACTTGCGAGGCAGGCACCGGAAGCACTGAGCTAAATCCCTGGCCCTCTTTCCTTTTTTTGATAAGGTTGGCTAAGGGTTTGTCAATTTTGTTTATTCTTTCGAAGAACCAATTCTTGGCTTCATTGACTTTTTTGTATTGTTCTCTTAGTCTCCATTGCATTGATTTCTGCCCTGATCTTTATAATGTTCTCCATTGTATGAGCTTTAGGTTTGTCCTGCTCTTCTTTTTCTAGAAGCTTGATGTTCAGCATCAGGTTGTGTAATTGAGCTTGCTCTATTTTCCTAATGTGAGTATCCACTGCTTTGAATTTCCCTTAAGACTGCTTTCATTGTGTTCCATAGATTCCAATATGGTTTTTTTGGTACCAGGGATCGAACTCCGGACCTTGTGCTTGTGAGGCAGGGACCAGAACCATTGAGCTAAATCCTTGGCCCCACCCACATGTTGTATTGTCATTATTATTTAATTGAAGGAACTGTCTGATTTCTTCTTTAATTTCTTCTGTGACCCATTGGTTATTCAGAAGTGTGTTGTGTAGTTTCCATGTGTTTATGAAATTTTTGCGGTTTCTTTTGCTATTGATCTCCAAATTCATTGCACTATGGTCTGATAATATACAGGGGTAACTTCAGTTCCTTTGCACTTACTTAAACATGTTCTATGAGCGAGTACATGGTCTATTTTAGAGAATGACCCATGTGCATCTGAAAAGAATGTGTATTCTGATTTTGTTGGGTGGAACAGTCTATAAACATGTTAAGTTCCTTGGTTCAAGGGTTTGATTGAGTTCTAGTATTTCATTGTTTATTTTTTGTCTAGTTGATCTATCTGTTTTTGACAGTGGGGTATTGAGGTCCCCCACTACTATTTTATTAGTGCTTATATGGTTTTTCATGTCCGTTAGTATTTTTTTATATAGTTGGGTGCCCTAGTGTTTGGTGCATATATATTTATGATTGTCATCTCTTCCTCTTGGATTGTTCTCTTTACAAGCATGTAGTGTCCTTCTTTGTCTCTGTTAATCAGTGTGGGTTTGAAATCCACTTGGTCTGCAAAGGCGGATAGCCACTCCTCCTTTTTTGGGGGGTTCCTGTCTCATAGAGCATTGTTTTTCTACCCTTTAACTTTCAGTCTATGAGTTTCTTTTTGAATTAAGAGTATTTCTTGTATGCAGCATATTGTTGAATTTTGCTTTTTGACCCATTCTGCCAGTCAATTTCTTTTGATTGGTGAGCTGAGAACATGAACATTGATGATTATAACTGATATGTATTGACTTATCCATGTCACGACTTTTTCTTTTTGTTGTATTCTCCCCATTTGTGTTTAATTTCTTGTCATGCCCAATGGGTTCATTCTTCCGGACTTCTGGGGTTATGATCCTCATT